TATTTTATTTGTCAATTGCAACTTTATTAAAAAGCTATCAATAAATTAAAGAGAGAGTTATGTTAAATTGTCTCTGGTTAGATTTGATCATTTTAATTCCTAATAATAAATGGTTTTTATTAGGTACTACTAATAATAATAATATTGTTACCAACAAAATAAATCAGGTGCATTTAACATCACTCGAAAGTGATCAGAAAGCATTTGCTCAGAACATTTTCAAAAAAAGTTCAGAAAACTAGAACAAAGTGAAGTCGAAATCTGAATGGAAAGTGGTTTGATTTGAAAAAGATTTGCCCTTATATTTAAGACTCGTGTCTTAAACTTCTAGATCCTCTTTGCTCAATGATCAGTGGTCATTTTTACAACAAAAAAACTCTTTATTTGCTTTAATTAGTACGCAGGTACTATTTATTTGTTTTAAGTAAAGAAACAGTTTTTGTTTATTGTAATTAGAACAAAGAAGGTGCAATTGACCATTTTTAAGCAAAAGAAGAGTCTTAAAACAAATACTTTTATAAAAATGCAATTTTAAATGAGATTAACATGCATTTCTCCCCTTGATTAGCAAACCTTAACTTCAAAAAATCATATCTTAAAAACTACTCGGTATATTATTTTAAAAATTTGGATTCTTACTAATAAAAAGATGCTCTATCCGATAGTGACGAAGAAAAAAAAAATACTCGTAGGGTTTTTCTTAGATTATTTCGATTTACCTCGAACTTTTTCGAACACTGTTCGAAGAAAAGTTTGCCAATATCCAATTTCAAATTTTATATCATTCTAAAGGACAAGTTCATCCCTTTAGAATGTTCTTTATTTGAAGGAAATCGGCCTAATAGTTATTGAGTAATGATTTTTTAAAGTTAAAGTATTTTAAATTCATTTAAATTAGAAAAAAATTAATTAGTTCAAAGTGTGTGGACTTTTTGAATTTTTTTTTAGTGCATTTGATTTGTCTCACTGAGACGAAGAAAATGATATAAAATTTGTCAAGTTGTCACGATATGACTTTTTTTGTCGCCAATAGTTTTAGTTTTCGAGACATGTTTCGGTTCGAAAAGTGCCTGATGGTGGTGGTGGTGGATATGTATACAGCTGTTACAACAACACACGTCGTTTAATAATAGAATTGGCGTGTGTTCGTGTAACGGCCGGTAGTTGAAACAGTAAATTAGTTTCGAGTGGGTGCTCTCTCACTCGCTCTGGTGGAGAGTGGGTGACATGACCGACATCTTCATTATCTTGGCTCATAATCACGCTAATTGCATACGATTACAGTTTGCATAACACGAATTATCAAACTTTGGGTTTTGCAAACTTCTGATTGGTCGATTTATTTGTGTCTATACAGGGTGTTTCACACAATTTTACAAAATGCACACAACACTAGATACAAAAAATACACATTTAATTATTTAATTTTTGGAAACCCATGACAGTAGTTGTCAAACTAATCACTGTTTCATTAATAGTCATAAACTACAGTTTTTCAGAAACAATTATCATTTGTTTTATCAAGAGATGGCATGAATATGATTCTAGTTTATCTATCTTAATCACTAACTAATAAAAAACGTTGTAAAGGGTGAACAAACTAGAGAGGATCCAATTTTTCAAAATTTGTAATCGAGTTCGTGTCGGAATATGTATTATTGATTGCATCTTACAGGCGCAGGCCTTGTAAAATTATGTGAAACACTCTGTATAGGATGATTTTGGGGGGTGGTTTCCCATGTCAAAGTATGAAAAAAAGTTCCTATGGACTTATGTCCGGAAATGCATCCTAAGCGAGCTACAGCTGAAGGAGTTTTTTTTAATTTATTTTTGACTTTTATCAGAAATTTTCTTATCGTAGAACGCTGATCTTTTTTGTATATGAGAGAAAATTAAATTTTCTTTCCAATGGTGCTAAACATAAGAGGTTATCACCGATAAGTCGGGACTTATATTTCAAAAATGTAGCTGAAAAAAATGTTATCATTGCAATTGCTTTTCAGCAAATCTTTGCGAATAATTGAACAAAATTTCAAAATTTAAAGTCACTTCGTTAATTAAAATAAGATAAAACTGTTTAAAATAACATTTTTGCGCCCAATTTTGAATTTTTTTGAAAGCAAAATCTGTTTAAAATGTTAGATTTGCGGTAATAAATAAGCAAAAAACTACACGAAATAGCCGAAAAAGTGTTTTTTTGTCGGTAAATGGGCTTGAAACTATGTAAATAGACAAAATTTTCGTTACAAAATGAATCAAATCGAAGAAACAAGCAGAATCAACATATTTATAACCAAATCTTGCAATTTCACGTTTCAATTAATAAAATCTCGAAAAATATGATCTGAAAATAATCAAAATCAAATTAAAAAATCCAAATTTTAGCTTCAATCAAGCAAAATCTATTAAAATCATTTGGATTTTTATTGAAAATCAAGCAAAAATTTACGACAAACACCCGAAAGGTCAAATTTTACGATTTGTTGCATTAATTTAATAAAACTCGTAAAATGAGAAGAATTTCCGCTTAAAAATGAATTAAATCAAGCACAAATATCTCAAAGATGTTCAAATCTTGCAATTTTACGTTTTAATTAATAAAATATCCAGGAATTCGATTTGAAAATAATCAAATCAAATAAAAAATCCAAATTTTAGCTTCAATCAAGCAAAATCTATTAAAATCATTTGGATTTTTATTGAAAATCAAGCAAAAATTTACGACAAACACCCGAAAGGTCAAATTTTACGATTTGTTGCATTAATTTAATAAAACTCGTAAAATGAGAAGAATTTCCGCTTAAAAATGAATTAAATCAAGCAAAAATGTCTGAAAAATCTAGCTGAAAAAAGTCTTGTTATCACTGCAATTGCATTCAGCAAATCTTTGCGATTAATTGACCACAATTTTAAAATTTAAAGTCACTTTTTGAAAACACTGCTCAAATTAACATTTTTACGCCCAATTTTGGATTTTTCAAAACGATTCAGCAAAATCTGTTTAAAATGTTAGATTTTCATTAATAAATAAGCAAAAAGGCACACGAATTAGCCGAAAACGTATTTTTTTGTTAGTAAATAGGCTTGAAACTAATGAAAATTACACAAAATTTAAAAAATAGCCAAAATTTTCGTTACAAAATGCACCAAATCTAAGCAACAAACAAAATAACACATTTATAAATAGATCTTACAATTTCAAGTTTTAATTAAAAAAAAAACTCGAAAAATACGATCTAACAATAATCAAAAGTAAATGAAAAATTTAATAAAATCGTTAGAAACAAAATTTTCCGATTTTTTGTTTTTATCTCATAAACGTGCTTACTCGTGAATACTAGAAAAAGGTAAAAATAACACAATTTTAGATCCATTTTGTTGAATTGATGGCTTTTTTTAACACAATTTTGCGAAATAATTGCGTTTCTAGCTGAAGAATGTTAGAACGCCCGAGAAATGCAATTTTTGATTTAATTTGTTGATTTTTTGGTTTATTTTAGCGAAATATCGCGAAAAAACTGAGATACCACAAAAATGTGCTTAAATTTTATGATTTCTCGGCTTATTTTTGCTTTAATGTTGCTCAAAAACCATTTAAATCTAGTGAAATATACAAAATAACACGAATATCAATAGTTTTAGTGATTTTTATGGAGAAAATTTTGCAAAATAAATGAGCTTCTAGTTCTAAAACGAACTAAATCGATCGAAACAAGCAAAAACATATTAATTTCGATTTAATTTTGTAGTTTTTTAGCCTGTAAACGACATTTTTCGAAAATTTTTCGAATAATTGCTTCTAACTGAAAAATGATGAAGTGAGTTATTGGCAAAAATTGACCAAAATCTCGACAGAAATTCAAAAAAAATTGTCAACTACAAAATTGATTTATTTAACGTTTTTTACATTTCTAGAGGTGCTAAAGACTCAGAAAAGTCCATCAAACGTTATTTGGGCAAGTTTAAAAAATTATTAATTTTTCGAGTTTTTGAAGGTGAGCGGTAGTAAAATCGTAAAATTAGTCAATTTACTAAAAATCGTAAAAACGGTTGAAATATGGTTTTCTAGACGTAAAATTACTCGCTGAACACGATTCAACTAGTTAGAATACTCTACGATGCATAGTTTTTGAGATATTGAGTAATAAAGTTAATAAAAAGAGTAAATTAATAAAATTAATAATAAAAAAAAACTTTATAATCGAGCTAAATGCACTTCTAGAGGTCAAAGAGAGTCAGAAAAGTACATAAAATAATTTTTTCAAAAGTTTTGTGATCAGAGATATTCGTCGGGGGCGTGGTGGCGCAGTGCTGTAAAATTGCTTTTTTTTGTTTTGTTGAAGAAATCTCTTTGTTTCAGGGGTAAGATGCAGTGTGTGGAGTTGTCGGGCGCCGCGGGGCAAAGACTCGTCGGCGGGGCCCGGACAATCGCATGGCGGCCCCAATGAGATCCAGCTCGCAGGACGCGAGCCACCGACCGAGGGTGGCGGACTCCAGGACAGGGAACGCCACGGCGAAGCCAGACATCACAACCACCACCACCCAACCCTCAACAAATTTCGAATACGATGACAACGAATGGGATATAGGAATCGGTGATCTCATTATCGACTTGGATGCGGACATAGAAAAGACCAACGAGGGGGCCAACACCCACACTGTAAGTTCTTACTTGACATATATCCTTTTATTTGTTAAGTCCCTCGGTGCTACGCTGCTCGACTATAATTTTTTTTTTCTTTAAAAAATGAATAGATGGCCGCGAACGCCGGAGGCCCGCAAGCCGCCAAAGCGGCCGCCACCGCCAAGATGGCCATCGAGCATTCAGCCACCGTCGACAAAGGCCTGAAGATGAAAATCAAACGCACGAAACCGGGTACTAAAACCTCGGAAGCCAAACACGAAATTGTGAAATCCAACGAGTTGAACGGCACTGCCGAGGGGAAGCACACAGCCGGTGTGAATGCCGCCCCCGGCGCCGCCCCCGGGGGCAACAGTAAGCGCGGTTCGAGTGGCCACCGCCGCGACAAGATCAGAGACAAGCACTCGTCGGCCGATAAGGCGGGACAGAAGGGGGCGGCGGCAACGC